CAGATTTAAAAATAAATGCCTTAGACGTGATGCTTTCACTTAAAATGAAAAGAGAGAGAATGCCATCTGGAATCCTGGAGGAAGGGATGCATAAAGTCATACTAATGAGCATAAACAAACAAACAAAAGACCAAGTGCTAAGGGTCCATAGAAATGATACACAATCCTTATTAAGAAATATAAACAACTGAATAAAACAATAATCTTAAAAAGGATTAAAAGGACCACAACTTATGACTCAGGAACTGGAGTCAAGTGTAGGGTCAGCGATAGAATTATGGTGTCAGTGAAGTTAATATTTTATTCAAAGCAACCATAACAGCGCAGGCCTAGTCATCCCAACAACTCTTCCCAGTAGGTCTTGCACCAATGAGGCAATTGAGAGGACTGAAGATCCTTCCCACAGCTGCCTAAGTCCCCTCCTCTTCAGGGACAGATCAACACTCGTGGTTTATCACGTTAAAAGGATGTTATTAAAATGTGACAACAGAGGGCATTGCAGAGCAGCGACCCACCGGCAAAGAGAAAATGCATGTTAAACGCTGTAGAGTGTTATATCTAATATTGTTCTGTTGTTGTTGTTGTTGTTTAGTCGTTTAGTCGTGTCCGACTCTTCGTGACCCCATGGACCAGAGCACGCCAGGTACTCCTGTCTTCCACTGCCTCCCGCAGTTTGGTCATATCGTTCTAATAACGTTTAAAAGATCAGTGTAGATCAAGCCCAGGGTTTTCCCCAAGAAGTCGTAGACTACGTCTGTACTCAAGCAATCTCTGCTCTGCTGTTTTCATTTCTCTGAATGTTCTGGGAGACCAGTGGGGAGGGGAGCTGGTCTCAGCAGGAGGGGGAGACCCTGGATTTTTCAGCAGCCCGACTCAACTCTGCCTCTTGGCTCCTCTCCTTTCCAACCTCTTCTTCTGCACCCAAGCCTGGACTGCTGTCTGCCCCGTCTCTTCCTGCTCACTAAACTCTGTTGCCCCTCCAGCTTCCAACACCTCCTCCTCCCAGTCTTCTCCCTCTGACCACTCATTGTTGTCCCACCACCAATCCTCTGTTTCTGAGCTTTCTTCCCCGGGGGTTCCCTTTGGGGGGGTTCCCCAGCTGGTGCCTTCCACCACTCTTCTGCACCACTCCAAGTCCATGACATCTAGATTGTCCCCCTGAGCTAGACCTCAAGGATCTGACTCTGATCTCCTCTGATCCTGGTGTGGGAAAGCTCTGGCCCTCTAGATGCTGATTAACTACAACTCACCTTGGCCATTGGCCATGCTTGTTGGAGCTGATGGGAGCTGTAGTTCGGCAAAATCAGATTTTGCTGAACTACAACCTCCATCAGCCCAAACAAGCATGGGCAGGTAGGTAGATATAGGATTGTAGCCTTAGGCCACAATCCTGTGCACAGTTTCCTGGAAATAAGTCCTGCTGAACTCAACGAGGCATACTTCTGACTAGACTTGTATAACGTTGCACTGTTAATCTTTGGATCAGAACTGTTCTCCTTTCCCTCCTTCCTTCCCAATCCCAGTGCCCTCCTCATTTTCCTTTGGGCACCTGCATTTTCAAGATTATAAGGCTCCAGGCAGGATTCTATTCTTAATTACAGTGGTACTGTGCCTCTAATTTAGGGGGCTTTCTAAATCAGATGACAGACATCTGCTATTCAGTGTGCATTTCAAAACATTCATTAAACTCCTCCACACTGTGTACATGCTCTCTCTTTTTAAAACATTGTGTGAGCAGCAGTGGCAAGCCAATATAAAAAACATCATGAAAACATTTGAAAGAGAGTAATGAGTCTGAAAACATGAAACCTCTTTCCACTGCTGACATTCCCAATATGTCGGTCAAAAAAATCGTGATTGTTTTGTCCCCTCCCCTTAAAGATCTGGTTGCACGGTCAACATGTATCTGCTAATGAAACAATCTGAAAATCATATAGAGCCCTCAGGGCTGTAACCCAGTGGGGTGTACAGAAATCATCGTATGCAATGATTATGATGGCTTTGATACTTCCTGAAATTGTATCCTATCTCAGGGTTCCTAGCAAGTGGCGATCATTTTCTTAAAATATTCTCAATCAGAGCAAGCAGAAAATGTTCCTTGAAAAAAGAAATGAAATGAAATGATGAGTCTTATGGGGCCTTTAGTTGTTAATTCTCTTATTTTAAAAAATCTGAACAGGACCCATAACTAATGTCTATTTTGCATATATTCATAAAGAACGTATGCAAAAAGGGCAAAACATTGCCTTTTCTATTATCATTATGACCAGATTCTTATCTTATATCCAAAATAGTGAGAAATAATCTCTTGGATTTGGATAAATTACAGGAACCCCCCATTTACGCACATTCAATATGCACATGACCTTACATATGTACCTGGAAGTCACTCAAAAACATTACAAAAAGAGGTGGAATGGGGCAGAATGGGGGCAGAATGGGGTATTTTCAATGGCGTTCCAAATAGATGTGATTTCGCTGGCGCGCGAGATGCCTCTGAACTTAACTCCCATGTAAATGGGGGTTGCATGTATAGCATTTTTACTTAAGTCAGGGAAAGAGAATTAAATTACTTCAAAATTGTTGCAACAAAATTTTCTCTTTCGTACTTATATGGCGTGTTAATTTAGCCTAATTTAAATTTTGCTAGGTCACTTCCTCCATTCTTTCAGTTAGTTACTATTGTTGTAAAATTTGACTGGGGTGTAATGGGGTGTTAGCGAAAGGGTAGTACCTCTGGTGGGGGACACATCATGCTCCTTCTGGGGTAGTTTGTCCACCTTTGCTCCCCGCCTTCCACTCAGCTCTCACCTGTGGCTCCTAGCTGTCAGCATGCAACAGTGGCCACACCCTGAGAAACTGTTTCAGCTGGCCAGCTAAACGAGGGGAGCCAATGGGTCAGAAGCCCTCAGTGTGAAGACAGACTCTGGCAGATTGAGACCAATAGTGAGTCCGACGGTCAAGAAGGTGGTTTCTGCATGCACTGATGATGGAAATGAGGGACAGAGGGGCTCACCAACCTGGGAAGGTAGCCCACCTAGGAGAGTGGAAACTCTGACCCTTGTGGGATATCTATGGGAGAAGAAAAAGGCTAAGGAGTAAACCCTACACACAAATCCCTAAGGCGGTTGGGTGGCACCTTGTACGCCTCCTTCCGGCAACTCCTGCAGCCAAGCTGGTGCCAAACGTATTGCTCTGCTTTCCTTTGGACCGCATTAGCAAGGTTGCTGTCTGGGCATCCCAGGGCGTCCATGCGCAGTGCCCAGGCTTGCACCCCAGCAAGGTCACTTCGGTGCTACAAATGCAGCAGTTTGACTTCATCCCCGGAGGGGCACACTCCATTGTCTTTTGAGATGAATGGGTGCTGTGTGTGTGTGTGTGTGTCTTGGAAATGCCACACTTTCCCTAGGCAGCATTTTTTGGCAACCTTTGTTAGGAAAACATTTCTTCTGCTATTCTTGGTGCATTTCCTCTGCTTTAATTTAAGCATATGCTCTATCCTTCAGTAGTGGGGTTGAACAATTCTTCTTTCTGTCCCCCCACCCCCATCCCGCACCGATATAGCAGACTTTATGGCAGAGGCACACATTAAGAGCTCTGAGACAAATTGATTTCTATAACCTGTCCTGAAAATGTGAATTGATTTGAAGCACCACCAGCCTTATTAAATAATGTGAAGCACTATTAGCCTTAGAAAGCACAGTGTGTCCATTGCAAACTAATCAGTGTGTGTGTGTGTGTGTGTGTGTGTGTGTGTGTGTACAAAAATCAAGGCTTTTTCATTATATTAAAGAATTAGGAGTATTATTGCCCAGGTAGCTTCGACTGACATTGGGTTATGTTGATCCAGATGCTGGAGCTTTATAATAAAACTTGATTATTCTCAGAAGGCTCATGCAGCTACAAGGCCACAAACACTCAAGTCCCAGTAATGAGAAACACAAGGTATGCTTCCATTAATCAATATATGGATTGGCCTATGTAGATTCCCTTCGAAACCCACAGAACAGGAAATTAAAGTAATTAAAAGAAAGCTTGATGGTGAGTAATGAAATACCCTAAAGGAAGGCTCAGTTTATAGTGCCTCCGGAGCTTTTCCTTAATCAGACATTAAATCCTATACTCAGCAGTATACGTCTATGGCTAGACAACACCTGGAGCTTAATAATTGGCCAGTTCATTTATTGATGCTTCCGCTTTCACCAGTTCCTTCTTGGTCTTCTCTGCCTTGGTTGGGTTGCCACGAGGCAATGCTGCAGCGATAGTAGAATCCATATTGAGATTAGTAATATCGAGCGTGTGGGAGACACTGGATGAACTAAAAGTGACTCTTCTGTTGAAATAAAAAATTCTCCCGTCCAAAACTATGGTTCGAAAGCTGTACTTGCAGAATTTAACTTCAAAACAACTCAAAACAATAAAAAATTACATTCACTTGCATAACTCTTACACTGGTCCCAACAAAAAGATGTAATAACTTAGATTTCAAATATCTTGCATTCTGAGCTAAAATCAAAGCTCCATCTGTTATCCACTGCAGCCTCTTTTAGCCTCGGGCTGTTTTGCTGGAGACAGATATTCATGCATCCATTCTCTTCAGTGGCTTAGAACAAAGGGGCACCACACCCAACATAGATGCATACCAGATTAGCCTGTGCAGAGACCTGAAATACAATCTGTTTCATGTGACTCATAGCAGATCACCCTGTGACTGAGCCACAGAGATACAGCCCCATGATACACCTGGTCAGCTCTTCTCTAACTTCATACAATTTCCAGCCATGATTCACAATATACAATAAAGAGATACTATAGATCTCCCATTTCAATATACATGAAACAATTCTACTTAACAATCCACAACTGGCAGAAATCCCCTTCCGTGCAACACAAACACTCTGGCAGCCAGTACGCCTGGGTTCCTGATCACATGAAGAGGTCCCTCTTCATTTAAGATCTTTACAATGCCCCTCACTCTTGTGTTAATTTGGGGAAGGGTCGCAGCTCTCTGGTAGAGCATCTGCTTTGCATGCAGAAGGTCTCGGGTTCAACCCCTTGCATCTCCAGGTAGGGTTGGAATGAACTCTTGTCTGAACCCCCAGAGAGCTGATGCCAGTAAGTGTAGACAATACAAAGTTAGATGGACCAATGGTTTGACTCGGTACTAGGCAGCTTCCTTTGTTGTAAGCCCATGAAATTTCTCCATAGGCCCATCAGTTCCTGCTTTGGTACCCTTAGGTGTTCAAAGTTCCTTGCAGCACACCCACCATCTACTCAGGACTCTGATGTCTTAGTCCTATGTGTACACAGACAGGATGTAACTGAAACCAATTATTTATTGATTCATAAAGCTCAACATCAAAAAACCGAAGATCATGGCCACTGGTCCCATCACCTCCTGGCAAATAGAATGGGAAGAAATGGAGGCAGTGAAAGGTTTTACTTTCTTGGGCTCCATGATCACTGCAAATGGTGACAGCAGTCACAAAATTAAAAACGCCTGCTTCTTGGGAGAAAAGCAATGACAAACCTAGACAGCATCTTAAAAAGCAGAGACATCACCTTGCCAACAAAGGCCCGTATAGTTAAAGCCATGGTTTTCCCAGTAGTGATGTATGGAAGTGAGAGCTGGACCATAAAGAAGGCTGATCGCCGAAGAATTGATGCTTTTGAATTATGGTGCTGGAGGAGACTCTTGAGAGTCCCATGGACTGCAGGAAGATCAAACCTCTCCATTCTGAAGGAAATCAGCCCTGAGTGCTCACTGGAAGGACAGATCCTGAAGCTGAGGCTCCAATACTTTGGCCACCTCATGAGAAGAGAAGACTCCCTGGAAAAGATGCTGATGTTGGGAAAGATGAAGGGCACAAGGAGAAGGGGACGACAGAGGACGAGATGGTTGGACAGTGTTCTCGAAGCTACAAACATGAGTTTGACCAAACTGCGGGAGGCAGTGGAAGACAGGAGGGCCTGGCGTGCTCTGGTCCATGGGGTCACGAAGAGTCGGACTCGACTAAATGACTAAACAACAACAACAAAGCTCAATGGAAATGCAACATGGAAATGGCATAAAGTATAGAATTGTGAATGGTATAGAAATGTATGCAGAAAACAGAAAATTGAATAAATATAGGAATTAATAGAAAATAAGGTAAAATGTGATTAAATGATTTGCAGTTGGATATGATTTGCATATGGGTTTACAAGTAGCAAACATTGACAAAGCAATCAAGGTGCATCACATAACTCCTGTCTCCCTGCAGCCCATCTAGTTGTGAAATAATTCTAAGTTCCTAGCATATTACAATCATAGAATTTGTACAGTTGGAAGGCGCCATGGGGGTAATCAAGTTCAACTCCCTGCAATGCAGGAATATTTTACCCAACATGGGGCCCAAACCCAGGACCCTGAGATTAAGAGTCTGATGCTCTACCCACTGAGCTATAGTAGAGCAATGAAAATTCATAGTTAACAAACTTAGAGCTGCAGACCAAGTCCTTGGTGTAAGCAAAGCACACTGAGAGGCAGAAAGCATTATAGGAAAGGGAAAATGCAACCATGCTGCAACACCCCCCTCCCCAAATAAAGAATGTAGAACAACCTTGGTAGGGGACGAAAACCGAGTGTGCCTCTGATGTCGACCAACAACAGGACCTCTCAATTTAAAAAATTCTTCCATCTTATTGTTCATTTATGTGGACTATGAATTACCATACTCCATCTCAGAGGGGAGGGGAAATAAGCAACTGGGACCCTGTTGTATGTGGTTCCTCACACAAGGACCTTTGAGACATTTCCAGCATTGGTTTGTGAAAACATTTTATTCTCCCACTTGGTTTTGTGCTTTTCTGCCACTCTGTTTTTCTGCTTTTTCTGCTTTTCTGCCAAGAATGCCAAGTTCTCCATGAACCTTTACTGAAAGCAGCAAAAATGCACACTCAGGTCCAAGCAGCTTCCACAGGAAGGACCCAGACATAGAATAGCCACCCATCATGGCTGCTCTATTGCATGCATAAAACATACCATAACTGCTGTGATGTTGATGATGATGATGATGATGATGAAGAGGAGGAGAAGTTTGGATTTGATATCCCACCTTTCACTCCCCTTAAGGAGTCTCAAAGCAGCCAACAATCTCCTTTTCCTTCCTTCCCCACAACAAACACTCTGTGAGGTGAAACAAAATTTAAAAATTCCTTCCAGTGCAACTCCTGGCAGCACAATCACCATCATTCTGCTGGAGTAAATGGAACACATCCTTATAAAACAGCCCAGAGAAACAAATAAAATTATGAGCTAAGTGCATTATCTATCTATTTATTTATTTTTTTAAAAAAATCAACAACAACTTTTGAGCCCTGGTGTTTCCCTCTTGGCTACCAAGTGCAAGGACTGTCCGATTTAGCATCCCCTTAAAGGACATAAATAAAGATGCTTGTTTTCAGCTGTGTCTCTCGGTTCCATGCTGATTATATTTGGAATCAAAGCCTTTCCCTCTCAGTATGCTTTCTCTCTGTCTGCTGTTCCCAGCTGTCTTGCCAGGATGTCCAGCAAGCTGGTTCTTCTATATGGCAGCTGGGAGCTACTTTTCATCCAAACTCCAGCTGAGTTGTGCTCTACCTTCACCCAGCCTTCTGTTTGCAGTGTTTGGTTGGCCGGTCAACAAACCAGCAACTGATCATGTTTGCAGACCACCATGGGTCTTAAAGAGGCAAGCCCACAAGGACAGACAGTTCATTGGTGTATGCCAATACGAAGGCTGTAAGTTTACTCATTGGCGTGATATGGTCCAAAATCTACAGTTCTTGATGATTCGAGAGCCTTACTTAGAAACAGTTGATGTTGTGGGAGCAGGGAAGGATGAAATGCAACTTGGCAGTGGCCAAGCAGTCTATCAGAGCCTCCATCAATCCAGCCATGCCCAGGCCCTGATCCTTGAGCCAATCAGCTGCACTTTTTTATCTCCTGCACATGGGCTTAGGATCAGACCAGAGGGAGAACCTCTTGCCTCTGATCTGTTCCTCCACTAATCAGTTATATGAGGCCAGAAATGGTTTACTTCCTAGCACGATTGCCTGTTCAATCATGTTTCTTCTCAAGTGGTGTTAAATCAGATGAACGCTGACAGTATTTCTTCATTTTGCACGACAAGTTCCTTATATTTATGATACCTGCTCATGCTTCAGACAATCCGGCTTTTCATAGCAGCTCTACAGCATGAAGAACCGATGGCGCAGTATCATAATTAGGCTTGCATGTCACCTATACTTAATCTCAAAAACCGTCTAACAAACATATGTTTCCCAAAATGAATAACACTGTACAGAAGTCGAAAAATGAGAAATGAGTTAATACCTTGGAAATTAATTGCTGGCAAGCCTCAATATCTCTCTGTACAACCAGAGCCAGAAACATCAATATCTAGCATCACAGGGATATATGCATTCTGAGCTGATAACATAAATGCAAATCATTCAGATTTGGGGAGGATGGATAGATAATCTAACCACATCTGCATAACTACTTTAATATGCATTTGGGGAAAATGTTTATGTTTTGCAATGAGCTGGGAGAGGATGAATAGTTAGCAAGAAATAAGTGCATAAAGGGGAAACACCGCATGCCACAGTTTCTTTGTTTTTCCTGGTTTCTAGGCAGTGGTGTAGCATGAGTTGCCGGTGCCCAGGGCCACGTGATGGACAGGGTACGCAAGCATATTCAACCGCCTAACAGCGTCCGCATCATCCAGGAGATCACAACCACCGGGATACGAAGAGTTGTTCCCTTGTCTGGAAAGGCCACTTCCTGGTTCGCATGGAGAAGTTGTTTTCAAGCCAAGCGACGGAAGTGTGCAGCTGTATTGAGGCAGCACCAGATGTTGAAATTTTGTGCCCTTAACAAATTTGTGCCGGGGCTACTCTCACTGTGGGTCCTCCCCTCCCGCTACGCCACTGCTTCTAGGTACTGAACAGTCTTAAAAGGACACTGTTAATTTTTATATTTACCTTTTGTTGCCTATTGATACAAACATCTTGAGGCACCCAGTGAAGAAGAGGATAGGGAGATGTTGCAGAAGTCCAAACATACTTGCTTAATTTTCTGCATAGCCGGAAATGGCAAAAACAAAACTCACACAGTTCTTAAATTTCCTCTGAGCCTCCAATAATCTATTGATAAGAAAAAGTGAACAGTGCATTGAAATCCAAGATATCTACTTAGTATTCCTGATCTGTAGCGTTTTAATTACAACTCGACTCAAGTGCTTCCGAGGTTCCCAAAGCTGTTTTGTATTTACAAGTATTTCCACCATAAAACTTTTATCCATGTTACGCAGGCTCTCTTGAGAGTAATTTCAGGTTTGCACGGCAAGCATTCATCTTATCACCATTACCAGAAGAAAATGTATGAATGCTCAAATAATGTGATTATAGTGACCAGATTCTTATCACCAAAGCAAGCAAAAGGAGCTCGTTAAATCCAGATCTGTTCCAGTGTTGGAAGCCTTTCTGATCAGCTGAAACACTCTTCAGTTATCTTTCTAGGCTAGGGATGAAGAAATGGATCAGGCCAGCAGGCCAGATTCCTAATTCTCCCACCCGCTGCAAGCCATCCTCGACAGGTGGGCAGGACCACACAGCTGTCAATCACCTGGCATCATGACACCGGGTGCTTGACAACTTTCGAAGTTCAAAGGCAGTTGCTGCAACTGCCAATCAGAGTTGATCAGCGGTTATAGCAACCTTCTTGGAAAATGTTATTTTAGCACCAATCAATTGACTGACACTGTGAACATACATTCCATTTCTCTGCTCTTGGGAAGCAACCACAAATCTGGAGAAAGCATCAGAGGACTCCAGGTGCTCAAAGAAAAGAAAGATTCATCTCAGGCCCGACACATTTTGGAGAGATCCTTCTTCAGGAACAGATGTGCTAGCTGGGATATCTCTTTTTCTAGCTGGCTGATCAGTTGCATCGCAGTTTCAAGTTCAGGTATACTCTTAGGTAAGCACCTCAAAGGTGCCTGGGAACAACTGTTTGCCAGCCGGCTGATCTGTCTAGGACTGTATGTGTCTAGCAGGAAATGCCTCCATTTCAAGTTGTTAGTGAAACCTTCTGTACCCAGAGATTAGCCCCTGACAACCAGATTAAACAGAAGGTTCCTGAAAGTAAAATATAAAGGAAAATGATTGTTCAAAATAGAATTTAAATTAACAATTGAAGCTAGAACATCCGAGCACCTGTTTCATTAGATGAAAGTAAAGTAACTCTCAAGATACAAGCAGCCAACAGTGTGAAGGACAAAAATAAAAGTGTCTTGATTGTTACTGCGTCGTGATTTGATATGAAAATAATGTTATTAATGGGCAGATACAGGATGAATGGGAAAGAACATGTCATAACTTAATAGTAAAGTGGCATCAAAGTTGTTGTACATGGAGCCAACTTATAATTGGACAAAGAAAAGGAAGTTGGGTCAAAAGAACAAACTAAGGTCAGGACAGGACCCTACCTATTTGAGGTGCAATTCTTCCAGCTGAAGACTGAGAGGTCCTATCTAAAAATATAGGCATTTTTAATATTAAAAAAAATTCAGTGGTACCCCTACCATAGTAGTCATACTCTGAAACCAAGCCATCTGACCCACCCAAGAAAATGGTCCTTGACAGATTTTCCCCCTCAGTATCACTGTCATGCTTCCTTACCACATTTAAGTGGCCTGGTCACTTAATCAATTGACTGTCCAGAAAACTATGGGAAATAAATGAGTAACAATATAATATATTAGGGCTGCCATATTTTTAGGAAAGTTGTTGAGCTTTCTTGGGGAAAGTTTTAAAAATCTGGACATTTTGCCAATTCCCCAAAATCCCCCCCCCCCCCGCTAATTCCATCATTGGCAACCACAGTAGAATATGGGTTGTAGTGAATAAGACCGAAGCACACTATGAATTGAAACTGCCAGATTGCCTTGTTCAATTAAAATAATAATTTTTAAAAACTGTTTGATTTTCTCACGTTCCAAATTTTCTTGTACAGATTTCATGGGAAAGGTGCCTTTTTATGAGATTTGAGAATAGAGGGTTTATTTGAAATGTGTAAAAGGTAGAAAGGAAAGGAGACGAGGAAGCAACAGCAGCGGTTGGGCTAGATTTTTAAAAATTAGGGAGAGAAGAAGGGATCAAGAGTAGAGCAGGATGTTTGATGGGAATGTTGACAGTGTGAGAACCTTCAGGGTCAGTTCAGGCTCGATGCAGAATGTGGAGAAAACTACTGAAGGGATTAAGAAATGGAAGTGACATAGGGGCAATGAGAGATGAAGATGGGTTTAAGACCAGCATTTTAATTAGACAGGAGGGCACACATGTAGATCTGGGAGCACAATAGGTGGCTGCAATTTTAAGGCTGACAGGAAAGGATACAAGGATATCACTGATGCAGAAGAAGAGGGAAATA